ATTGATCATCAATAGACGTATCTTTAGGTTGACAGTGGAAGATACGGATGAGGTCCGCCTTGGTGATTAATCGAAATCACGAGTTTCCTCAACTGAACTCAAAAATTATAGAATTCATGTGGAAGTGTACAGAAACTAGTAAGAATTTTCATATTGATAGCAACACATGTAGTTGACCATGTGCATATTTTCCCACACTGCTGAACAAAGTTCCGAGAAATGATGCCAGATTTGGGCCTAATCCGTATCTTGCGCAGTGCAACCTAAGATACCCTTGGTCATGCCAGGAAGAGGGGATCGTTGTGAGCCTCAGGCGGAAGACACTCGCAGAAACTGCGTGTGTTGGTGAAAATATGAAAATTCTGAGGAAATACTTTGTAGTTGTTCGAATTCATGTGCAAACTTCTATAACTAGTGAAGAAAAAACTGCGCTCAGCAGCTGAGGAGAGCGAACGTATATTCCGTTCGAGCCCACACAAGGAGATTCACAACAAATCTAAGACGGTCATCACGAACATGTCTTTAATGCAACTCAGGTAAGAGATGTTTAGTTTCAAGGGTCTGCCTTGAAAACCGTGGCGATTCACAGCAAACGTTGTTTACTCCTGAAGCGAGTATCATAGGTTGTTATCAACCCAGAACTATATATGTCATAAACGTTGTTAAAAGTCAATCTCTACAAAATCTAGAGGTCTTCGATTTCGGGCCGAGTTTCGGGATGAGTTTTGAATTTTGGGCGAGCGCTTTTACACTTGAGCGGAGCGAAGCAGTTTTTTGTGCATTTCCATCAGCGCAAGATTCGTCTGCTGGTCGAAAAGTGAAATTCTGACAATCGAGTTGTAGATTCCCTCTTCTTTTGAACTACATGGGAGAAAGCGGCATTGATAAGCGGGTCGAATTCGTCCTGCGGAGGATCTTCACTGTTTTTGGGTATGTCAAAACGTGGTGGATTGCCGACTTCCGTTTAACCTTGCACTTCATTCTCCACGGAGTGAGAGTATATATTGCACTCACCCTGTTTGCCGGAGTAGGAAGATCTGTTCGCTTTCCTCAGCTGCTGAGCTCGGGGGTTTCCTCAGTAATTATAGCAGTGTACAGAAACCAACAAGAAATTTCATCAGAATTTTATATTGTCATCAACACACGTGAATAACCATCTGCATATTTTCCCATCCTGCTGTTTGATGTCTCCTATCAGATACTCCAAATTCGACAAGTTTAAATCGGCGATCCTCAGCGTTAAGGAGGAGTCCCCTCTTAGGGCGATTGAAATTTTCCTTGACGACCCTGAGGTGAATACAGCTCATTCAGGCGACCTGTGTATTACTCGTTGTCAGCGCCCGGTCGTCTTTGCTTATCAAGGCTCTGGTGAGAGTCTTATTGCTTCGTGCGATTGTCCAGCATCGGTAGCTCAAATCAAGAAGAAGGTGCTGGTGATCTGTAGGGCAAAGGTGAGTGGTATATTAACGGACCTGATTGGTATCATACACAATCGACCGGAGGATTCTCATCTCACACTGACTTTGCGCTTCGTAATAGATTTCAGCAGTGATTAAAATGACTGCACATCCTCGCTGTGCGCACGATACTCGTCAGACTGGAGGATCCTTTGTGAGGTGCTCCTTGTTGTGTTTAGGCCGGAGTGGAGATCTCCATGGACAACATAGTGGAGGCCATCCTTGTGCAGGAGCTGTCTAAGAAGCTACTTGAGAATATGAACCTCCTGCTGAATGGCGCGTAAGATCTTGAGTATCATATTAGACCTCGGGCATAGCGGCCCCGTACAGTGAATAGACTTTTGAATTTTATAGTTGGCATATCGGCCCCATTCGGCGGTAATTGATGGCATATCCGCCCCATTGGATAGCTAGGGTTTTGAAGGGTATAGCAGGCATAGCGGCCCCATTCGGTAAATAGGTTTCTGAAAGGTATAGCAGGCATATCGGCCCCATTCGGTAAATAGGTTTCTGAAAGGTATAGCAGGCATAGCGGCCCCATTCGGTAAACAGGTTTTTATAAGGTATATCAGGCATAGCGGCCCCATAGGACTTTTGAGTGGTATAACGGGCACATCGTCCCCATCTGGTGGATTGTTTCCTGGACGGTATAGCGGGCATAGTGGCCCCAATCGATACTACCGATTCGGTAGATACACTCTTGAATTATATTGTGGGCTTGTTTGATCCAAATGAATGGCATTGAGGCCTCAATGAATGGCATAGCGGTCCCGATGAATGGAATAGCGGCCCCAAGAAATGGCATAGCGGCCCCAATAAATGGCATAGCGGCCCCAATGAATGGCATAGCGGCCCCAATAAGTGGCATAGCGGCCCCAATGAATGGTATATCGGCTCCATTCGTCCTCCACCCACCATCTCATTCCACTACTGAGTTGATCGAATACCACTCCATCACCAAATCTTTATATGATGAGGCTAGTCTTATAAGCTGCTAACGCGTTTCTTTGTGAATGGTTATGTTTGCATGCTTATACCTCAGTAAATAGAGAGAACGATTCAACTCAAACCACTAGAAAGAGCTCGTCGAGCTTTGAAATGGTAGCTGATATATGACGAAGGGCGGAGTTTCCATGTGTATAAGTTCAATTGGGTACATATATACAGTATTAATATACTCATACATCACTAGCAGGGCCTTCACTCTAAGCTAGTTTTGTAAATATTACCATTGTGCATACTGGTGGGACGAAAGTCATATGTAAAGAGCCCGCGCCAGGAATCGAACTTCCGTTCATTCGTCACCGTATAGTGATTATCATCAGTTAAACATCACAGTGGAGATGCATCGAACAGGTACGCCTCAACTCT